ATATATATATATATATACTAGTGTTGAAACTGATCATTAGATTGCGTTCAATCGCGGATTGCTCTAGACGAAGTTTCAGTCCGAAATAGGGCGCGTTCCAAAGTGAAATTCTAGAGAAATTTAATGGGTGCAGATACAAATGGGATGTACGTTTAAGTTTTTCTTAAACATATCCATATAGATATATATGTTCAGACCCACCTCCGAAATTAGTCGTATCTACCCGTACTCTAGAATCAGCTTGAGTCAGAATTCTTGAAAATCTTGTCTGTAAGTCATATTTTAGAATGAGTGAAATCAGAGCTGCTCGATTGAGTATCCTCGATAATAGCTTATGTGAACTAACTCATATATCATCAGTACAAGCGATATATATAACAATAGAAAAGATCCTTGCTAGTTTTATAGAAGCTTATCAAGATCCAAATCGTACAATTAATGATTAACCAAAAGCTTGAGTAAGAGTTCTTTTCAGAGAAAAATAGTGTCCAATCGATTATCCGAATCAATGTGTGACAAAGAGGCAGAAAATCAAGAACAGATAACTTTCTTTTTTTTAGCATCCTTTGTGTACAATATCGAAATTACTTAATCTCCGCTTGAATCTTATAACCATTGAGCATAAAATTTTTCAATAATGGTGTTTCTTCTTTGTTTCAATGTAGGAAGTGTTCAGAGATCTAAATGGTGTTTTTTGAAAAATAAAATATTAATCTAAAATGTGCCATATTATGGACAATATATTAAACTTCGAGATGTGGTGCTCTTTACGATATATTCTGAGTCTGTGGTTCCAATTTAGTTCTCATGGTATGTATTACGTCTTCTCCAAAAAGTGAAAAATTATTGTTTTTTCAATTTATTTCGAACTACTACGATTCCTTCTTGGAACTGAAACCAAAAAAATCTTGAAATTTATTCATCTCAATTCAGGCCGCTTTCGATCAATTTGTTTCGATGATGCTCCCTATCAATCATCGATCGATTCCGGCACGTGTTATCGAACAATGACTAACCGATAAATGATCAAGAAAAAAGCTCATACTAAACTATATAAGTTCAGCATGATTAACTGAGTCATTTATGTCTAATTATGTACGCAAAACGTAATGGACAACAATATGTTTATTTAAAGTAACATATTACATTTAAGTGTCAGATTCTGTAACTTTCTGAAAAAATGTATTTTGTGATTATTTTTTTCGCTAACAAGATAGAATAATTAGTCCAATTAGATAGACATACAGTTCATTTAAATCTACTTTACTTGCATCTTAAATAAAAATTCACTTGCTGAATATTGGTAAAACATTTCGAGATGACAACATCGTCAATTTTAAGATAACAAATTTTTATTGTCTAAAATCATTATTATAGTCTGATCATTGCGCGTTTTATCGAGAACTTTTTATCATGATTTTATAAAGTATGGTTCGAACTTACGAATCACATTTAATAAGTCAAAAAGTTCATTCTATCCATAGCAGAGTTGAAATGTAAATCAATTAGATTCTTTTTTGCAAAAATTGATCAAATAAAAGAAAATATGTACAAGCTATTTAATGGCTATAGCAAGAAGCTATCAATTTATACTATCAGAATTCTTATAGTTAATTTTTGTATCCTATGAAATTAATCCAAACTTAATGTATGTTTTCATATTTCGAAGATACCACTCATATAGTCAACGTAACTAGTACTTTATGTCAAATCCAAATTTTCAACTAAAACACTTTTTTAAGCATATATCTAATAGACAAATATGGAATTTCTTCCAAAAAAAAAGTGATTGAAACATTTTCCTCGGCAACTTGTATTGGAGTTTTAAATAAATAAGCATAATACATTTTTATAAAGAATGAAAATACAATTGGTCCCAAAAATATTCTACTCGATTTATTTTCAATTATTTTCCGCTTTCGTAAACTTTAATAAGAATTCTAAGAGTGACTTGAGTAGAAAATTTTATTTCGCACAAGGACTATGTCAAAATTAGAAATGATTACTATTTTCCTTCCTAGGACAAGATCTTTAAAAAAAACTCCAAAAACAAGTTTTATAGTTTTGCAGGGTTCGCAAATCAGCTTTTCTTTGAATTAATAAAATTATCTAGTAAACTATTCTCTTGTAAATGCAATATTCTTCAACTCTGTACAATGTTTTTTGATTAAGATATATTAAGTTTACCAAAGGCATAAAAACGGTCGTTCTATAAGAAATCAAAGAAAAAAACGACTTGTGTACCTTTCGTAAGATTGATGTATTTTGATCAAAAAGCTTCTTAAAAAGTTTCAAGATGTTTCAGTTGAAACAGAATCACTTATTCTATCATCATGGATGAATCAAGTAAAATTCTATTCGTATATGCCAGAAACGAAAACTACTGAATTTGTGGTTTCTCAGAAATTCTATGCTTGAGAAATTAGCAATCAAATTACTATTTGAACTCTTATTAACATTTACGGCAGCCGAAAATAATTGAAAATACATCTGACCGAATCATTTTGAGAGTCATTGAATATCCTTATAAGATTCGACACAACAATCTTTTTCTCTTATCCTTATCAGTAGTTGTCGCTGTTGGACGATACGTCTAAATGTCAGTATAAGATTTAATAAATAAAAAAAAAACATATTTAAAAATGAATTATAACATTGAATTGTTATAAACATCATCATATTATGAGTACAGATATTAATGGATTTAGTTTTGATTAAACTAGAATAATCGATGACTCATCAGTGTCAAAATATCATGAAAAAAATTGAGATTAGGAAGAAAATATTCCATTTACAATACAAAGAATACTATTCAATCGAAATATTTACTTTAGTCTATAAACCTTTGTTTGTTGATTACAATTATAAATAAACAAACGATCTCTTTTTTTTGCTTCATATTATTCATACATAACTATGTAGTAAAAAGTATTATAACGTTCTTTGATTACCATAGTTTAGATTGTAAATATTATTCATGGATGTAAGTGTTGATTCATCGCTATCGTCATCAACAAATACAACGACTTCGTCTACTGCTACACCAGCATCATCATTTGTTAAATTATTTTTAAATGAAATCAATAATCAAGATGTTCATGGTTTACTTAATGTTCAACAATCATTGTAAATAATAATTCAACTATTTCTTTGTTTTTGTATAAAATTAATGTATCTTTTAGACTTGAACAATTAGATAAAACAAATGAAAAATTAGACGGAGTTAATAAATTATCAACAAAACGTTATTTAGATGCAACACGAGATTTTTCAAGTCATACACAAATGTTAACAACAATGAAAAATGATCTTAATTTAATATTTAAAAGAATAAAGTAATATAAATAAAAAAAAAAGAAAATTTTCAAAATTTTATATTCGATATTTATTATTTTAGATTATTAAAAATACGATTAAATAAGAAATATCCTGAAGCTTATAAAGCAGGTAAAAGAAAAAGATTTGATACAATGAAAATCAAGGCAACAAAAAAAAAATACATTTTATTTTGTTAGCTATTCAAATGAATGCAACACAAAATGATTCTCTTGATGAAGATGATGGTGATCTAAATGACTTGACGACATCGACGACGGTAAATTCGATTTGCTGCTTTCTTTTTCTATTTTGCATGCAAAAAAAAAAAAAGAAAAACATCTGTTGCTCGTTATTTTGATTTATATCTTTTCATTTCATTAGAAACATATTGCGCTTATCAAATCGAAAACGATTGATTGCTCACAATTTTCAGTATCAATGCATGAAAGCTATAGTTCGACTCAGCTTGCAAATAATAATAATAATAATCCTAGTGAACAAACAGCAAATTCATTTGGTGCTGTACGTCGTTTTGTATTTGATAAATCATCAGGTGGACAAAATTTTTCAACATTATTTAAAAATGCTCGTGATGAATTAAGAAAAATTAATGATGGTTTGCTTGGTGGTCAAATTCAAAAACCATCAAAAGATGATGAACAATGATCTTTATGCTTTTATATTTGATTTTTTTTTTTTTTTTGATTGTCAGATTTATGTTAATAAAACCTTCTTCTTATATTTTAGATTGTATCTAATTAAATTAATTTCATTTTTTTTTTTCGTTTAAAATCAATTAATTCTTTTGGTGAGTATAATTTATTTAGATATTTAAATTTTAAAATCAAATTTTTTCTAAAAAAAATGAAAGTTAATCATTATAACATAGAACTATATTTTAATGATTTCGATTAAACTTTAGTTTTTGTATTAAGATCTATAATAGATCTTGACAAGATCAGTCATTCTTGGTCCTAATCACAGGATCGAGATCATCTTGTCTACATCTATATTCATTATATCTCTAACAAAAATTATTCGAAATTATGAAACTTTAGATTGATTCATGTTTTAGTATTCGTAGATAATAGAAAGTTATCTATAAAGGTGAAGACTACTCATTCGTATAGTCTACATAATTTAGTTATTTTTGATCTACTCGATCAAAGTTTATCTAATCATGTGATTATAGTGAAAAGAACCCACGAAATTGTGCGTTTCTAGATTCGATACAATATCCCATAGGATCACATTCGAATTTGATATGGATATGACAGTTTCTATCAAATGAAGAAAACTACTTAGACGAATACTATATAGTTCAAACTCAAAAGTTCATAAGCAATCAGTTTAATCTAACGAAATATGATTGATCACGTAGATGGTTAATAAATTAAATTGAAACTCGAGCATATATCTACAGCGACATTCTATAATAATGGAAAAAAAAAAGAAACACCAATCATCATCATATCTGAAAAAGATTTGGATTGCAGTGTTAAATATGTGCATACACACAACAAAGAAAACAAAATTTAACAGATGTTTATGTTTGCAAAACTATATTTCTCTTCAGAATTATTTCTATTGTCTATGAATGATATTTTTTTAAGTATTGAAAAAATTCGAAAAATAAACATCTAATATAAATTGGTTTCTTTTTAGTAAATACAAAATTCTCCATGGCTACTGCTTCTAATATTGATGATCTTCTTCAATGTCCAATTTGTTTGGAAATTTTTCATGATCCTAAAGTTCTCGATTGTCAACATACATTTTGCGCCAATTGTTTAAAAGTACATTTATCATCATCATCAAATATATTACGTACACCAAATGCAATTGATTGTAAATATGTTCATTTTTTTTTTAATGTGTATATTACTATCTATTAAAATAGGTCCAGTATGTCGTCGACGATCAAATCTAATTAATAATTCCGTTGATAGTCTACCAGGAAATTATATTGTACGTGATATAATTGAACGTAAATATGGTACAGCAACACCTGAACGTCCGGCTGGTTATAATCAACAAATTCAAGATCGTATTAAAAAATTACAAAAAGCAGATGAAGAAGAAAAAGATGACACTAATTATTCGGATTATATAAAACCAGCAGCTGCTGCTCTTATTGGTGTAGTTGGTGGTTTACTTTTAGCTAAAGGTGTAAAAAAATTACGTGACCACAGTAAAAAACGAAGTGGACATTGAAGAAAAATGATTATACATTAATTCAAGTTTCCTTTTCTTTTTTTTTTAATTCTTTTTCTTGATACAAATCAAATACATTGAATATATGAAATATGAAAGAAAAAAATATTAATGCTTTGTTTAAATAACAATCAAAAGAAGTGGTACTTTTGTTATAAATTATATGTTCTTACCCTTCTGTCTTTAGTTTTTCTATTGTTTAAGCATTTTCTTGTTTCTAGATCTTGATAAATTAAAAAAAAAACGGTTTTCATTGATTCTAAAGCCTTCGCTGAAATTCATTTGTAAATGCTTTTGAATAATGTAATTTTTGAGTTTTGTGCAGATAAAAATTCTAGATGTAGACAATGATGGGCAATACAGCATTTATTTCAAAATTAGAAATAAACATTTATATCAAGTTGTATAGAAAAATCAAAAGTTTGAGAAAATTTTTATTATATTCGAAAAATTACCCAATTACTTTTAAATTGATCATACACTTTAAGGTCTCACTCAGAATCATCGGTATCTAATATTATATAAGCATAACACTGTAACAAAAACCTCATGGTTGGTGGTATTTTCAGTTTGTGTAATTGAGCAGGAATTTCGCTATTACAAATGTGTGATGGGAATTGCATCAAAATCAAACCTGATTGTTTGACATCGCCTTTACTTACTTAACGTCAAATCTTTCTGAAAATCCCTATTTAGTTTTTGTTAATTTTTCGATATTTCTGACTATGGTTAATTTGAACTATAGTAATCCGTATTTACTCTACATACTTTCAAAAAAGAATCATAAAATATTAACCGTAAACATTTATATTTTTTAGTGCTTTTTAGAATTTGTAAGAATAAAAACCTTCTTTTACTACTGAAAAGCTAAATCAAAACTTAATAAAATTTGTTTTAGATATGTTTCATATGGAGGAGGGCTTCAGTAAAAGCAATCATAAATTAATGAATCATTTTATGTAAAAACCTTACGTGACCAGAAAAACTCGTTTTCATAGTATACGTAGAGTGTGATGAGCTACATCGGATGGCGTTTGAACTAATTTTCTAACTCTCGAAGTTTTCGAGATAATTGAAAAAAATGTGTCAAAAATGTAACAGTGTTATGTTTGGACAGACTATAGAGCCTAGTCTTTCAAATGGCATGCAGTCGCTCTTTGAGCAATATTTTGTGCAAATATTATAGCATCCTAAGTTTTCAAAAGTGACTTAGGTCATCAATTTCCATCATTTTTCTGTAGTTTTCCAGTTGATAGTTTGAAACGCGTCGTAACATTTGAATAAAATATGGTACTCAAGGCATCGACTTGTCATTGGGAAGAAAAATTGAAATATGTACAAACTTTATAAAGGGCAAAATGAAAAAATTTGTGTGTTATGATTAGAATGGAATTTTCTTTAGAAGAATAATATCAGACTTCATAGATCGAAATAGAGCAGAGAAAAAACAAAGGAACACACTTTTATACCTCGATATATATATGCATTGATGCCTGAAATCATCGTTGTTATAAGAAGTAATAATGAATGAAATGAGAAAACATTTTTATTCTACCGCCTTTTTAAAAGCTATTCCGTTTCTCTATACATTGGTCAGACAATAATAATGTTTTCTCACTTCAGTCGAACTTCATCTTCGAAATCATACACTTATCTTTATAGTCGATCATATAGCAAAGAAAATTTCAAGAATACACGTACATATAACCTCGGTTTACATCAGTGCGTATATATATATGTATAACAACGTCGATATTGATCGAATATATATTTACACAAATCCAAGTAGAACAGGAATGATATGTTGAAAAAGAGAATATATGAAAGAGATGATGAATACCGTAACATATCAGAAAAATTATCTTTTCATATGCTCATTTATTTTTCTTTGTTTCAATATTCATCTAACACATACACAGACTACCACCATTTTATTTCTTCACGATCGTTAGATAGACAAAAGCTAAACGTTGGCTTGGTTTAGTGCAGAAGAAATATATAAAGATAAACGGCTATTGATCAGATTAAACTCATAATTAATTCTTCATAGAACCATTCATTTTCAATATTTCATTTTATTTCACGCTGACTTCATCGTAGTAAAAGTAGCAGTCGACGCCATTATCAAGCTTTAACACTGTCAGATTCGAAACAAGTGAAACACAATACCTCATCCATCTGGTGTACTAATTACTTGGACATTTATACGAAAATTATTGGAACGCCTGATGTGTTACTGTAACTTAGACATTGTAAGATTAACGTTTGTCTCCTACGGTGACGATAATGTAGTACTGTTCAGCAAAGATGAAGCACTGTCTAATTCTATTTCAAGAGTTAGCACTGCTATATCAAATGAGTGTCATATTCACTCGAATATCATTTTAGGCCAATTAATTCTAAGCACATATCTACAAATTTATACAAGGAAGTTATTTAAATGATTTTCATACTAATTATTTTTTTATTAAGAAATGTTTCTACTTAGAAGTTTAATGGTCGCAATCGATTGATGGGACTACTTCTCATTTGCGATCATAAGTCAAATTAAATTTTAAACTATTATTAAAACTTTAAACTTCAGTCAACATGAAAGTTAAGAAATTAATCTATTTGTTTTTTAAAACTACAAAAACTTGATTAATTTAATTTTTAAGTTTTGATTGATATATATACTCATATTTAACAATTTTCACTTTCAAGTTCGGATCGTATAAAATCTAGGAAGTTGTAGAGTCCGCTAGAATATCTAGCATAAATCTAACTGAATGTAAAAAAAATTTAGAAATGTCGCATATAGTCTGTTTGAAGCTAAGTGAGTGCGATCTGAAACTGTCACTTCTCATTCTGGAAGATTAACGTAAGAACACTGTAGCAAAACAAAATGAGTTTCACATTTCAAACGATTTGATTCAGAAAGCTTTATTAGCTCTCGATTATTTATGAATTTGGCTACTTCACCAAAAAGATGATTTTATAAATGAGATGTAGTGTCGAATAAATTGTTTTAAAAAATGCCAATGAAATCTGGTCGCATTTTAAACTAGATCACTGAAATAGGTTGATCGAGTGAAATTTTTTTATAAAACTTTTTCTGAAACACAGCAAGATTATAGATTTCGTTTAAGTACTATGAATCCTAATCTTAATCAGGAACGCTTTTAGGAAAGTGATTTACTTAATTCTCATATTGAAAAACGAATCCTAATACAGCTTGAGCAAGGGACGAAAAATAATGAAAGTTTTCATGAAGATTAAAGGAAGATTTTGAATTATTTTTCTTATGTTCCACAAATATGATTCGATGTTCATTCAAAGTGTGACCTCGGCGGACACTTGTCTGAAGATAACTCGAATATCAACACCTAAATCTTGTTCCGTTTACATTTTTTCACAGTTTATGTTGTTGAATAATTATATTTTTAGGTTCGAATTAGTTTCTTTTCCATGGATTGTTTATCTTATGTTATTATAGAAACTAAATAGAGTTCCACTACAAAAACAGGCTTATGACATTCATATTGGTAATTTGGTCTAAAGAACTCTAAATATAAGAGTTAATTTAGAAGAAGAAGAGCACTACATAGTTTAGCGCATTCTACTAATAAGAGCTGAATTCATTGAAATTCTGTAAGCATATATCAAGCAAACTCTACATTTTCCTAAACGAAAATATAGAAATTACATAGAAAACAAGAGCGAACTCTACAAATTTTAATTCTTGAAACAAAATGGCTTTAATTCAAAATCGAAAATTTGACACTTTCAATCGCTTTTAATCTAAAAAATTCAAATTAATTAAAAAATGAAGTGAAATATTATTTAATAAACTTTGCATTATCGACTGTATGTTCGCCAATGAGAGGATACCGATTCTTTTATCGCCATAGCTATAAAGTTTTAGCATAAATTTGGACCATCACTAATCGTGTTCAGGTAGGCATTTGTTGTTTTAAAACAATAAAAACATTTTTACTGTTTTGATCTCGAACCCGATATATTAGCATTTAGAACTGTCTTATTCATGCATCCATGCATAATAATGATAACAGTAAAATTTTCAACATGAAATATTTTAAGTTTTTGAATTCTATACTTTGTTTATCTTGCATGCATTTTTTTCAGCTGATGAAATTGATTATACAAGTGATGAAACATCAAATGATGAAGATGATATTCAAGGTAAGTATTTTACTTTTGAAATATATTTTAATTTTAATTTTTAGATGTCAATATAAATAAATAATCGATGAAATATGAAGTTAAAAGCTTTAATATTATTTATTTCGAAGTTCAACTTGAAGATTGCTTTTTGTTATTTATAGGTATTGATGAAGAAATGAAAATAACGCCAAATATAGAGAAAAAACTGAAGCAAATGAATGAAAATGGAAGTGAAGTTGATTTTGATAATGATAATGATGATGAAGATATTCTTGATTTATGTTTGAGATTAGAAATATTTTCAAATGTGAAGAACATGTTGCTTTTATCGTACAGATGAAAATGATGAGAAAAATGGTACAGTAACAGCTCATGATTTGTCGAATGTCGGTAATTACTTCAAAACGATGTAGTTAGTCAAGTTATGAATTAAAATTAAATTGATGAAAAAAGCGATAATTTTAGACATGGAATCAAGTTCAAACAATGATAGTAATCTTGACGCGTTAGATGATCTTAAGAAAGAATCAATTGTATCGATTTCTGTAAATAGAATAAAATTTTCTTTTCGATTCGAAATTTAATGTCTTTTTATATGACGTTCTATTTATATTCAATCGATTCTATCTGAATAAATAAAAACTGGTAAATATCGTTTTATAGCACTGTATATGTTTGCCAAAGTCAATTGAATACGAAAATTTCTCGGAAGTTAAGACAAACGATGATATTGATCAGAGTATAAAAAAAGCTTTGACAAAAGCTTTTTTACTTGTATCGTATTGGATATGTACGTTCAAGAAGGCGGCAAAATGACTAAGAAGAAACAACTTTAT